GAATTTAATTTCCCACATTTGTTGTATAGAAGGTTTTTTAAAAATAGCATTTTTTATTGTAAAATTTAGCGAAAACTGAAAAAAAAACTTTACATTGTCACGGGTTTCGCCATTTTTTGACAATTTCTGTTGAATACATACATACTGAAATTCCAAAGTTGTAGAGAATTTCATTCTGCACAACTTTTGTACCTAAATTTTTTTTGTACGACGCTTAGATCACGGCCGGGAACGCGATAACCATAGCGATGTACGGGATGCGCCGTAAAACTCATTTCCACACTTTCACCTGCCCTCATTAAAAAAAAAAAACCTTCTATTTAACATATGTGGGAAATTAAATTCTCTACATATTTGTATTTAACCATTTCTTAATAAAAAAAATAAGCTTGCAAATCGCAAAAAACCAAAAAAAAAATTCAATCCAAGATGGCGGAATGTTTCCAAATGAAATTTAGGGGCGAGACTGTGGATCTATGATCTACGTGTCAAATAGAAGTAAACTGCATCAAAAAATCGCTGTTACAAATTTTTTTTAATTTTCCTACCAATTTTATCTAATTTAACTGGGCTAGTAGCTATGTTTGGCACGTTCCCGGCCGTGATCTAACCGTCTAACAAAAAAATGTAGGTACAAAAGTTGTGGAGAATGCAATACTTCGTGTATGAAAATTGGAGAAAAAACACCTAAAAGCGAAAAATATATTTTTTTATAAAAAAATTATTTGAAAAAAAAAATTACAAACCGATTTTTAAAAAATTTAAACCGTTGTAAAGGAGTCCAGAAAACTTATACTTTCCTGAAACTAAAAAATTCTATTTATATACTCAAAAAAAAATTGATTAAAAACATTTTTTCCGTCTATACAAACTCCTGTCCCCCTAGGTGAAAGGCTGGCTGCGCCCTTGAATACAAAACAATTAAGGTATTTAAACCGTACGTCATACGGTCAGGGTGTTCTTTTAGAACGCATACATGGTTCCATAATAATGATTCCAGTATCTTCATTTATGTATATTGTAACTATCAATATCTTATGAAGAGAAGTGTAAATTTTTTTTATCTAAAACTAATAAAGTTAGATGGACAAAATTCGAGGATGTAGTAGTTAACATATTAGTCCTTGATATATATTTTTTTCAAAAATAAATATTGGAAATTTCCAAGGATATTCAAGGATAAAGTTTTAAGAGGACATTTTCAGTACTTATTCGTCCTGGTGCACTCAAAAATTTAATTTTTTTTCTATTCTACAGAATTTTTCCTTTTGATTGATAACCATATTGTTATTCTACAATGCACCGAATCTTTTGAATAATTTTTTTATTCAATCATATTCTAGAAATTTCAAAGTCCTTTTAAAAGGATCCTAACGTCAGAGTAAAAAACTAGAAACGCAGAATTACTATATTTGGCCCCCAGTTTTGTGAATATATTGATTTTTTTGTGTGTAAAATTGACTGTTGCACGGTGTTATCAAATCCTTATCTAATACCAAATTTTCTTGCAATACTCACTCTCTTATTTATATATGGCAGGGGTGGGAAAGGTCGAGGCCAAAAAGAGCCACATGTAAATTCTAAATGCTACCAAGAGCCACAAAAAAAAACAACAAAAACAAAAACTTTATTTTTAAATAAAATTATTATTAGAAATGAAAACCATTAATTTTATTATTAATCTAATGTACGTAAGATAGATATTAAAAAAAAATTCAAAAGATCCCTTTGGCCAAATTTCAAAATATGGTTTTACGTCAGCCGTTCGTAACAGTTCTGTTAAATGTTGGTCAGTCAATAGGTACGTTCGTTTCAAATCTTCAGTAAAAAATGTCCAACAACTGTTCTCTCACAACAAGAGAAAAATATCCAAAATAGTACGCGAACAGAAAATTTGCAGAAATTTGCAAGTTAGACGAACAGCTGATAGAAATTTTGTTTACATTCAAAGAAATTGAAAACGAAGGAAAACAAATCCCTAAGTCTTACCCTGACACAGTTCACTGACTAAACGAATAATTACTTACTTCTTATAAGTTTAATTAGTCGCATTTTACTATTTTAACTTCCAAACCATCAAATTCAATTTAGGGATTTGCGTAAATTCCAGCCAGCTTTTTTCTTGTTGGAAAATTGCTGTTGTCAAACATTTTTCCTGCAGAAACTAGTAGTGATGAACGATATTTCTCTACTGGTGATTTTATCACTGTAATTTAAAAATCGCTTATAGTGACTGCTACTGCTAGGCCACAATGTCAGTGACTGGTGATTTTTCTACTCGCATGATATTTCGCTGGTAATGAACATCACATTTGGCAATAGCTAGTCAACAGAAGTAGCGAATGGTGATTTTTCTCTATGATGGTAGAAATGGTGATTTTACAATTTTCGTATATTCATTGTGAATATACTCGTATATATACATATTGCGTTTTTTCAAGTACGCAGTTCGATTTGCTTGATCGCGTTATTTGCGTTTCTATTTCAAAACTTATTTATTTATTATTTTTATTTATTTCAAAATTTGTATCAAAGAGTTAATATGGCTTTAAATATTATTAAAAAACGAAGCGAAATATGGCAATTTTTGAGCGAATAAATGAAACTTTTCCTCTTTCCCTCTTTTCCCTACATTCATTTTTTCGACTGAAATCCCTACGGTTAGGGAATTATCCGTACATGCACCAACACTGAGTTCTCATCATTTATTAGAATTATTACACATTTCTGTGTTATTAAAAGAACTAGCAATCGCAATAGCCATAAAAAAATCACTGTGATTTAAAAATCGCAGTCACTCTTTTCACTGATACTGAAAAATCGCTATTTCGAACATCACTAGAAACTAGCAGCTTTCCCTCAAAATTAAATGGCATTTTGCTCTTTCAATTTCCCCTACTTTGCAAGTTTTTTGCGTACGCGAACACAAAAAGCTGATAGTTTTTATAACTTTCAATAATTATCAGGTACGCGAATGCAACTAATTGTGTACGGTATTTCGACAATACGCATTTCATTGTAGATTACAAAGACTCACAGTTATCCGTTGTACCTAAAATTGAAAATATACGGCACGCAGCTGTTATCAACAGCGGATATTTTAAATCTGGTACTTGTTGCCGGAATTCAAGCAATGGCAAAGCTTTATGTTGCATTTCTAGTGGCTTATCTTCTCTTAATTACAAAAACTCCAACTCTTCTTCGCTTTTCTTAAAAAGGAGTATTTCGGATATTGTAAATTCATCCTGAATTACTCTGCCCAACAAAATTCAGTCGCGTAAGATATTGTAGTCGATTCTTATGAGATTTTTCCCGTAGAATCCGAACCTGACCGTAAAGATATTGGATTGGCTCTAGTTTTCGAGCACCTTAGGTTTAAAGGGGCCGAAGAAAGCGTTTTTGAACACTTTCGAGCCTCTGTAAAACAATCAATTGATGCAATGTATCTGTCGGTGGGGGGGATATAAATGCCTAAACACTGCCCTTTAATACTCAAAATAAAAAAAATATAGTCCGAACACTGAAAGCAATTGGAAACAGTTTTTTTATACGAGTACGCACGGGTTTTTTAACTCTTCTTTTGCATGTTTTTGATCACATTTGTTAAATGAATCTGGAAATTTCTAAAGAGATTGAAATTGAAGCTCACTTCATCTAAGAGAACATAACACAGGCCAACAAAATTTTTGTTGACTAAAATATTGCAATCCTTATAGGATTATTCTTGAAATTTTTAATTGGCTATAGTTTTCAAGCAACTTGGGTTTAGAGATGTCTTCCTCATTTTCATTTCCACTGCTAGGGTCAGTATCCATCGGTATTTGGTGATTAATCCATGAAACCTCGAGTTGTACTTCAAAGATTGGTACAGTAATTTCTGCAGTAAGTGGATAACGGCCGTTCACCGTTTAACCATAATTTTTTGATTTTGAGTATTCAAGGGTGTTTAAGCTATCATATCCTATATATATATATATATATATATATATATATATATATATATATATATATTGCATCAATTTATTGTTTTACAGAAGCTCGACAGCGTCCAAAAACGCGTTTTTCGGCACCCTAAGTTGCTCGAAAACTAGGGCCAATCGAATATCTTTAGGGTCGGATTCTACGGGGAAATTCCTATAAGAATCGGCTGTAATATTTTAGTCAACATAACAGTGTTTCAATTTTGTTGGACTGTGTGCAAACGTACATTTAAATAATTTCAAATCGGCGAATCTTTTATCAAAATCTGCTTTTAAATTATGTGCATTATTTTTTTCTAGCCATGGAAAATTATGAAATATTCTTTTATTTAGATCATGAATAAAAATACGTAGTTTAGCTTCAAAACTTAAAATAATTTGCGAAATATCAAAAACATTTTTATTCTCTCCTTGTAGAGCCAAACTCAAGTTTTGCAAATGTTCCATCAAATCGGCAAAGAACATTAAGTCAGAAAGCCAATTTTAATTTTCCAATTGCGGGCTAATTCCGATCTCAATTTGCATATGTGTACGTAAAAAGAATAAAATAAAAAAACAACACAATGGAAAAGAATGTGAACTGATGAAGAAAAAATTGTTTGGTCTAGTTACTGCTCGCCAGTTTTACGCCAAAGATCAAATGGATGTCATGGCCGAAATATACTCATTGTCCGCAGAGGGCCGAAAGCTGTTAGATAAAACTTTTCTTAATTTAGAAGTTTCCCGGACCAGGTATCGAACCCAGACTCCACGAACCCTAACCATTCAGCCACATGCGAATACTCCCGATTAATTTCAAAAACCCAGAGTCTTTCCCCCTGTTTGCAGACTTATGTGTTTTATGTTTTCAAATACCTTTAATTAATACTGTCGTTTTCATTTATTACGGCTGAGAGACAATTTGGCCTTCGCGCAGTTTTTAATCAAGGAGTTGATAGCTTAATTTTTTATATCGATTTGTTATTCTTGCAGTTCGGGCACTGGTAAAAAAGTGTTGCAACAATTTATGAAGTTTCTCACCGTGTTTGATTTGGTTATCCTTTAATAAATTATAAGTTGTGTCTGGAAGTATTTTTATTGCACTAATATCGAAAATTTTTAGTTAAATTTTCACTGTCTTCAATTATAAAAATATTGCACTCCATGTATCTTTGCTGAGAAAGTTGATTTATTTACACAATTTCTTTTATAACTATAAATATTAATTTTTAAATAACTACATAAAAGTGTGTTTCGAAAACTGTCAGTATCCTTGAAAGCCGCTTCAAAACAATAAAAAACCGACGAACTTTCCGCAAAACTTTTTATAATCTCGAATTGCATCCGATCACGTTGCGCGTCAATTGACAAGTGTTTTCAGATAATACAAATGGCAAGCATTGTTGCACACACCTTTCAGTTTATTTAGGCACTCATACGCATATATCACATACCTAAAGCCATGGAACAATTTTCCGAAAAGGTATTCAATCAAAGCACGCAACGCTATGTTGTCGTTTTATTACATTTTGAATTCGCGCCCATGCGCTCCAACAATGCGAAGCCCGCTAGTGAAAGACACAAAATGAGCGACAACACAGGAAAAATTTGAGAACCGCCGTGCAACAGACTGAACAAAAAACAGAAACGGAGCAAAGCAGCTACGAATGGAGCGTTATCAACAACCTAACTTGAATAACCAACGCGGAAGAAACAATGCAAACAACAAGAGTTTACAACTACCCGTTGAAGGGTAGCAAACTGGATACCCACTACCGCCCAAACACCTAACCACAACAAAACAAAACAATAACACACAAATGGCTGTGAAAGGAGAATTGGCCCCTTAGCGCTTGCGATGGTGTGGGTTATTGGGAGTGTACGTGTGTGTGCGAGTGGAAGCGAATCGTTGGGCGGATGTGCTGTGTAGAGTTGGTAAAATCACGCATACATATGTATATATGTGGGGTGTAGCGCATAAATTGTAAAGGATATTGCGAATCAGGCCCGATTTATTGGAGATCGTTTATTTAGAAAAGAATTCATCCGCACACGCGCACACGAACAAAATATGAATGTGTAAATTTTTCAATTTTATCAGTTGTTAAATTGTGATGGCTATTTATATTTCGATTGTTAGACAACTACATACGTATGAATGTTTCCACTACATATTTTTGGGCACACACAGACTTATCCTTCCTGCGTGTTTTTTGTAGGTCGTACTATATTATTTTATCACATTGTTCGAGAGCAAATATTTAAATAATGCCCGCATTCCTGTGCTTCAATCGCGACATACCTACATACATGGTATGAGCTTATGTAAGTGTGTAAGCAAGTAGATTAAAAATTTGTATATTTACCTGCCTGATACGTGGTGCACTGTACTCTCTATATCTAATTACATAAATAAGCGTACATAAATTTGTTAGATACATATGTTCAAAATAGTTATATCAAATTCGTTTTGTTTTTGCCGGCAACAAGAAAACGTTGCGGCCTCGGAAACAAATTTATTGCCGGTAATAGGTACGTTCGTTTGAAATCTCCAGTAAAAAATATCCAACAGCAAAATTCCGACGAAATGGCATCTGCTCTCTCATAAGATAAAAATATCCAGAATAGTGTAATATTAAAACGTACGAAAACTCATCACAAAGTGTTATCCTGACACAGTTTATTAATTAAACTAATAACTACTTAGTTCTTACAAGTTTAAATAGTCGCATTTTATAATTTTTAACTCCCAAACACGGTAGCCAATTTAATAAAATTTTGTGTACCACAATATGCAAGTAAAAAGGCCCAAAATAAAATAACATTTTTTTCCGTCCATCAAAAATACATAAATATACTTTTTTTAATATTAAACGTTAACGAGAATTGCAATATTTTCAATTCGTGTAAAAAAATAAATTTTCTCTACATACAGCTTCAGCAACTCTCAAAAAAAATTTCATCAAGTTTCATCAAATGGGTCGCGAGTTACGAATTTTTCTCTCAAAAACTGCAATATTTTTATAATCCCAAAAAAAAATCAAAAACGAAGTGCAATTTCGAAAAACCGTCCAAAGTGTATTTTTGTTCTATAATTATCTACAGATTCCCACAATTGTCTTCACTTTCCAGAAAATCAATGGAAATTCATTGACACAGTTGGCGTGGTTTGACTCAGCATTTAGAGTTTACATGTGGCTCTTTTCGGCCTCGGCCTTGCCCACCCCTGATATAATCCATATATCAAAGCTTCATACTTTATATAAAGTTCATAAATATTAAAAAATGTGTATCAAAACTTCAAAATTTTTATTTGGGATTTCTAGAAAATTTTTGAGTATGCAGTTCCCGTTCAGCTTTAGTAAAACAAAGTGCAAGTTTCAAGTCGCTTAAAATTACCGTTGATTTTTTAATTTTTTTTTTGGAGGATGTTGCGCGTTTTCTTCTATATAAAAATAAATTTTGATTGTGCGATATATGGAGGGTGTCGCGCGTTTTCTTCCATATAAAAATAGATTTTGACTATGCGTTATATCTATAGAAGAAAACGCACAACACCCTCTACAAAAAAATTGTAAAAGATCAACGGCAATTTTCAGTGACTTGAGACTTGTACATTATTTTATTAAAATTAAACGGGCTATAAAACTGCATATTCGAAAATTTTCTCGAAATTCTTTGTCAGAATCCTCCTGCAGTATGGCAATAAAAATTAATAGAACAAACAACAGCTGCAGCGAGTGCTGCATATTTCAAACAAACGGGTAGCTCTCACCAACGCCAAACGAACGGATAGCCATAGTTGCGTAGTTGTTTCAAAAAGGCCCAAAACAAACAAAAAAGGCCCAAAGGCCCAAACGGAGAAAAAAGGCCCATATTTGGTACAACTGTACCAAAGTGGCAACCGTGCCACTATAGATAAATTAATAGATAAGTTAACAGCCCTAACACTTTTACAGTATGTATGTATGAAAACGTAAGGTATAAATAAATTCTCCAAAGGGCTAAAAAAAGGGCTAGGGGCAATTTTAAATTTATGTGGCCAAAAAAAGTATGTGGTAGCTAATTCTAGCCACCAAAGTGCTAAAACGGCAACACTGGTGAGTTGAGCTGACTTGAGATGGGTTGAGATGAGATAAGGTGAGTTGTAGTGAGCTGAGTGGAGCATAGCATAACACTGTGGAACAAATTCAGGTTAGCAAAAGTTAGGTCGATTCTGAGGGTTGAAAATAGAGGCTAAATTAGAAGACCCGTATCGCGGCGTTTGTTTATGTTAGTTCGAATTTTGTTTTAATCGACCTTCGAACTTTGCAGTTAAATGCCGATTTTCAGCATATTGTTTATATGGTTTTTTTGGCTATGACTCGCCGACTAATTGATATTTTTTCAATCTGTTAAAGCCAAATTATTGCTAGAGACCTGTGCAACAATTAAAATGTAAAAAAAAATTGATTTAGAAAATTTTTGTAGCGCTTATGAAGCAATTTGTTGGATTTTTTTCATGCTTTTTGAACATATTTTCCACAAAACTAAGTCTTTTTTGCTTTCTGTTTGATCTATAATATGCTTCTCAGTTTCTTCAATAAAACTTGCGTTTTCCAGCTTAATATTAATGTACTTCTCATTTCTTATGTACCAATTTTTTAAGTGTTGGTTTTGAAGAACCATTGAAAAAGAAATTATAAAAATGTGGAAAAAAATATAACTTTGAAATGTTAGTTATGAAAAGTTTTAAGTAAAAAAATTAAATTAATGATTTGGCCAGTTGCCGTTGCTCCACATTAAACTTGGCATTGCTAAAAATTTTTTGAAATGTATCGCAAAAAGACCAGCAGTATTCAACCGCTTAAAAGACATTTTCCCAAGACTAAGTAACGCCTAAATTCAGGAAGGGGTTGTTAATGGTCCCGACATACGGAAACTAATGAGTCGTCAAGGTTTTGACCAAGTTCTGACAGACCGAGAATTAAATGCATGGCTCGCATTGACAGCAGTCATTAAAGGACTTTTGGGTAAAGAACGCAAAGACAACTACAGGCAATCTGTTGCAAACATGTTGGCAGCTTTCGATGAAATTGGGGTTAGTATGACGTACAAAATTCATCTCTTGCATCAGCATCTTGATCAACTCCCTCAACAGTTGCCAACTGAATCTGATGAGCAAGGCGAACGTTATCACCAGGGAACGGATTTTTAGGACATAAAAACCTATAAAAAATGCAAAATAAAGTAACGAAATAGGCTGGAAAAGGCAAAATAAAATAGCGAAAAAGGCAGGAAAAGGCACTAGGTATTGCAAAAAAGGCAAAAAAGGCAAAACAAAATAGCGAAAAAGGCAGGAAAAGGCAAAAAAAAAAGATATTGAAAAAAAGCAAAATAAGAGAAGAAGAACAATCAAAAAATATATTTATTTTAGAAATGCTTATATTACAAGTAAAAAGAGAAAAACTATGAACTAGTTTCATTATATGAAAAATTTGTACTTTGAATCTTTGACTATTTTATCCTTTCGAATTTCTAACTCATAAAACTTTAATCTGTATAGTTGTAGTAACATTGAACCACAAGATGCATTTTGAAGTTTTCTGGCAGCATTTTCATTCGATTTTCGCGAAGAAAAGCCTTGAATGTAATAAATGTGCGCTCGACGTAAGTTGATACAAGTGGAGCCCAATTTAAATATGGAACGTTTGAAACGTTCATATTATTAGAAAAAAGGGCGTTTTCCTCGCCCTTTACAATTTTATCCACACCCCTTATTGTCTTCAAGCCTACGTTAGCTGAGAACACGGCTTTGAATTTTTTCAACACCAATTTGGCAAGAGGTCCCTGTGCTTCTATAAGCCGCATGGGCATGTGTATATTTTTTAATCTTAAGAAAAAAATTGTAAATGCTATAATCACTTTTTTAAAGGTAGAAAAGGCAAAAAAAGGAAAATATCTTAAAAAAGGCAAATATCTTAAAAAAGGCAAAAAAAGGCAACTTCAAATGTGTATATATGGAATCAGGGAAAGCTAAATCGTGGACATTCTTAATCGAATATACTCTATCTCTTTAGCAGAAAAAAAGGCAATTTCCATAAAATCCGTTCCCTGGTTATCACCAAACTGCGAGTTAGTGTAACAGAAAATACACTACTGTACCGATGACATCATCCAATGTATGATACAGAATCAGTAGTTTACATAAAAGATTCCTATTGAACATTATCAGCAACCAAAACATTCCTATTGAAGATTATCAGCAAC